CCTCACCCCAAAAGCTCTTTGCAGGCTACTTCGCTTGGCTGTAACTTTCGCTGTGAGTTTTACGGTCTTCGGCAAAAATGCATCACCCAAATTTTTCAAAAAGGGGTATCAAAACTTCAGCTCCGAGCTCAGGAGGCTGCTGGTCTGGCTGAGCCGGGAGCAGGTTTTCTCCCACCAGCAAACTCGTTGCAACTGAGAGCCAGGTTTCCAAAATTAAACCATAATGAGTCAAAACGAGGAAACCCGAGAGCTGTAATTGTTGTTTGTTTGTTTTCCTTTGCTGCTGGGACATCTGGCGCGTGGGCTGGTTGTGCAACAGCGTGCGGGGACGATGACCCTCGGGCTGCGGACGGGACGGACATCCTCCCCGAACTGCCACCACACCAGCGGGGGGTGGCTGCGCTCAGCCTGGCCCCCCTGAGTGTCCCCCTGGAGGTGTCCCCCTCAACCTCCCCGGCTTGGCCGCCTGCTCCCTCACCCTTTTTCCCAGCGAAGGATCTGGGCTGGCAGGATCTGGCCCCACCGGGAAGGGGCAGCCGCCTGGATGGCTGGTGGCAGCGGGGCATGGAGCGCTCTGCCTGGGGCCGGCGTGTTGCTGTGGGGGGGTTTAAAATCCACAAGATCCACTGATAGGAAGCCAGGAGTATATTAAAAAACCTCTCCCACACGACTTTCTGGCGGGAGGCGCACGGCAGGGTTCGTTTACGCAGAAAGTGTTTCGCTTTGCTGTCTTTTCCCCCAAATCTTTTGAACTGGGAGAGCAGCAGCGGAGCGCCCACGGAGCTGCTTTTCCCCCTGTGTTTACAGTTTGTGGAGGGTGTTTCTGAGTCCCTCACGGGCATCAGGGCTTGGCTTTACCTGGCTTTGCAAAACAAAATGAAAACGAGTGTGTTAAGCTACCCCTCCACTCCCAAAAGGGTTTGCACTGGGTTTAAAGCAAAGAGGGTAAAGCAAGAAGAAAAAGAGGAATGATGCTCCTAGCCCACAGCAGAAGCAGGTATTAAATGTTAAGATCATTAAATTAAACCAGTTAAATTGGTTACTTTAATACCAATTAAATTGGCATTAATGGTGTCATGTCGCTGGTGCTGCTGCATCCCCAGCATCAGCCCCACGGAGCCCGGGCTTTTGTCATGCAGGCCGGTTTCAATTTAAAGCAAATTTGATTCTTTTTGTGGAGATGCATGGCTAGGCTCTTCCCTGGCTGGTGCCATCCGGGCTCACCCCTCTACAGCCTCCACTCCGTTTGCAGCAGGTGGGTCCTCCCAGCCCTTTCGCAAAGCCAAGGGATTTGGGTGTTGGAAATTTTAAGTCCTTCCTGGAAATGCAGGGATTAGCAGTTAAAGCCGAGCATGCCGTGGGCATGAAGTGACTTGCATTGATGGGGAACTGAAAGAAAACCAGTGGTGGAGAGAAGCGGCAGCCTTTTATGGACCCTCGCCCCAAAACGGGGCAGGTCGGAGAGCACCCTCGTGTGGGTGTAAAGCCATGGGGTGTCCCCAGCCCCTCGGGTGCAGTTCAAACCCCCGTGCCCCCTATGATGTTTAGGGGAACACGGAGCTCAGACCTCTCACGTGTTGGGTGGGGTGAGGGCTGGAACAAGAGCAGTGAGAAATAATCCGGCGTGTGCTGGGTGGCTTTTATCAGACAGAAATAATCCCCCATTATGGAGCTTTTAAAGTTAATGGTTCTGTGCTCATGTTGGGCATGAAGCCTATGGTGATGCTGTGGTTTTGTCAGATGAGTTACAGAATAAAAAAAATCACTTGTAGATGCTTTACACGGCTGTATTTGTGTGGGCTGGGAGCTTAGGGGCTCATGAACATTCCTGGGTGTTCGTTGTTTGCTTCTTTACTGCCAAGCTGGTACCGAAGCCCTGACAGATGGGTCCATCCTCCTCCTGTTTCCCTCAAAGCCGAATCCCCCAAGGAGAAGCAGGGTGGGTGACACTGTGCCCATCCTACAGGGAAGCTGAAGGAGTGGAGCCTGCTCTTCTACGGGACAGCTGAGCACCCCTACACCACTCCGGGTGGTCCCCAGTCCCGCGGGAGGATGCTGGAGGTGCCGGCATCCGAGATGGAGCCGTCAGGAGCCGCTTTCCTGCAGAGCCAGGTGGAGGTGGCGGAGGAAGAGGAGGAGTACACAGGTGAGCACCAGCCAAGCTGCTGCGTTGTGCCCAGGAAAACGCAAACCCGGATAAACTGGGGGAGCCTGATCCTGCCTGGGGCCGAGGCGGGCAGGGAGGAGTGGTGCCTGCGGCTAGCACAGGGCAGCAGGATGGTGAAATTAGAAGGTAGCAAAACGCCCCGTCCCGGTGCTGCCGCCACAAATTGATGGTGCAGCTGTCTGAGGAGTAAAAAAAGCTCCTCTGCCCACCTTCCTCCGCCTCCAGCATGGGCGGGCGTCCCTGCCAGTCCCCGAGGAGTGGGTCTGGTCCTTCTTTCAAAGCTATTCCTGCACCAGGGTGTTCAGGCAGAGAATGGCCAGGTGGGATTCGTGCTGGGGAGGATGAGTTGGAGGAGAGCAAGCACCTGGAGCCATGCAGCTCCGTAGGATAAGATACGTAAGATCTGTAAGATCGCAGATACAGGCTGAGACAGGCAGAGTCCTCAGCCCCTTCCCTGTGGCTGTTGGTTCAGGAAGGGGGTGCTCAGAGCATCCTGGCAGCAGGGTCTGGGGGATGCTCAGCCTCTCCCCTTGCCAAGCTGGTCTCTCCCTCCGCAGGTCCGTGCCACCCTGAGTGCGGTGACCAGGGCTGCGACGGCCCCAACGCCGACCAGTGCTTGAACTGCATCCACTACAGCCTGGGCAGCGTGAAAACTGGCAGGTGAGAGGTGGGGTTGTCCCAGTGGGGTTCCCAGGCAGCAGCAAAGCCTTTCCCCAGGGCTCGCACCACAGCCTGGGTGACAGGTCTTTGCATAGAGAAAGAAGCAGATGAGAGATAAAACAGAGGTAGAAGGAAGTGTGGGGATCCCTGTGCTGAACTAGGCTGTGATGGAGCGAGGGACATGGAGCTGGAGAGCCCTGAAGGACCTTGGCCATGCAATAATGCTGGAGAAAAAGCACAGGCTTCGCTGGCTGGCATCATGCATGCCCAAGGGACAGATGGCTGAGGTGCCAAATCACTTCTGCAATTGGGGTTTCAGCTCCTCAGTCTCTTGGGCTGGCACAGGGAAAGTTTACCCATAATCGGTGTTGCTGGCCAAGAGAGTCCCCAGCTCTTTATTACAGAGCCATGACACTCAAAGACACCTTAAATCTTAAGAATAAGAAGTAAACAAGCCCCAATCTCTGCCAAGGCTGGGGGACACCCCAAACGCAGTTGGGAGGTGATGGGTTGTTGACACCAAAGCCCAGGTGCTCTCGGTTCCTTCCCCAGGATGTGCGTGAGCTCTTGCCCCGCTGGGTTTTTCGGTGATGAAGGCGCCCGGAGGTGCCGCCGGTGCTACAAGGGCTGCGAGCGCTGCGTCGGGAGGGGACCGACCCAGTGCACGACGTGCAAGCGGAGCCTCTACCATCACCCAGAGATGAGCACCTGCGTGGTGCTGTGTCCACCTGGGTTTTACGCCGAGGAACGTAAGGATGTTTTATTTAGCACTTGTAAGCTGTAGCATGAGGATGTGCAGGAGCTGCTTCTATTTTGAAGTGCTGTGGGTGGAGAAAACACCTTGATTTTTTGAGTGTTGGCTCTGAATTTCCTCCCTTGACCTTCTTGGCACAGTGAAGGGAGGAGGGAAATCTCTGGGTGTTCAGAGGGTGGTGCAAAGCAGAGGTGTTTAACTCAGCTCCTAATTAGAAAATTATAATTAATGATCCTAGCTGCTTGCATGGCATATTTCTTCTTAGCAAGCAATGACAGATAAGGTCATTTGCAATAGCCCGGACCCGTCAGGGTGGGGGACGTGCCTCTCCACCCCAGGGAGCTTATGGTGGGGTGCAGCGGGGCTTTACGGCTCTGAGTGCTTCTTGCAAATCACTGTCTGGATTTTATACTCCCTGCCTTGCTTTGTTTTTTTGAAAGGTCAGAAACGCTGCCTGAAATGTCATCAAAGCTGTAAAAAATGTGTCGGTGAAGCAGACAAATGTACTGCATGCAAAGATGGATTCAGGTAAAATACCAGCATGAGAGGAGTTTATACCCACAGCATTGGTACCTGTGGTTTAAATTTGGGAAAGCCAGTGGGAAGTTAGAAAGTGGATTAGTTAAAGACCCAAGATCATGCTTACTTGGTATTACGGCTGTGGTGCAGAGTGCTGGAGGCCTGGGAATGTAAAGGTAATGCTTCGTGTCCCTTTCTTAGCTAAAAAGCATGATTTAAATTTAATTTCCTTTTCTCCAGCTCTTTCCAGGATGGTGAGTAAGTGCTGTGCTGTGAGCTCAGAAGTGCTCATCCATTTGGTGCCTTGTGACCAGAGCAGCTCCTGACATCACAGCATCTAAAATGAGGGGGAAAAAAGCACAATGAAAACATTTATACCACACGTTGCAAAGGGCACCTTTTCCTCCCAAATCTCAGCAGCTCTGTCAAAGCCATCGCACCCAAACAGGGTGCTTGGGTTTGCTCAACTATCAGAGCTTCTACCGAGCTGAGCTGCTCCAAGGGAGGCTGAAAATGCCCCCTGCAAGTGCAAAACCCCTTCCCTCAGCTTCATCCGCCCAGGAAAATTTTCTCCGATGTACCTGTTGAGTGGGGCTAGTACAGGATAGCACCGAGTGCCCTTGCTGCTGGCCCTCCGGCTCCTGTGGGATGCAGAGCCTAGCTGTGCCAGCAAGCAGCGTCGGCGTAGGGGAGAAGCTTTTTTCCATCCCCAAGCTCACATGGAAGTACAGTCCTGCAGCACTTTGCTTCGCTCAGGAGCCACACTGTAGCGGCAGGGCTCTCTCAGACAAGGAAATTGCCTCTGCCAAAAGATTACCTACTCCCTCAGAAAAGCAAAAGTGGAGGCGCTTGTCAGACATAATCCGCACGGCGCTTGCTTTTTATTGTCCAATATCCTTTTAAGCCGGGACTTCAAATCATTCCGCCGTGGTGAAGGAGCACTGTCCCAGCCACAGCACTGAACCAATTTCCTTTTATTCTGGGGAGCCTCATGGTGCAAAAGGCCTTTGGGAGAGCCTGGCTGGCTGCCTGTGGGAAAAAAGTAATTGTATTTCCTCCTGGATACTTGATTAAGGAACCTGCAGTTGGCAGGCCCAGGTCCCGGTGCGCTGTCTGGCTTTCTGACACCTCCTGCACCACGGGCTGAAGCTGCTGTAGGGGACTGGGGGATGCAGAGATGGGGACGGGCTCTGTCGAGTCTCCAGAGTCTGTAGCTTTGGGTGCAAATGTAACGTCCTCTCTGCTCTCCCGGCAGCCTGGCAGGAGAGAGCTGTGTGCCCGAGTGCCAGCCCGCCATGTACCTCAGCCGGGAGCCCCGGCGGTGCGAGACCTGCCCCGCCAGCACAGGTACGTCCTTCGCCCCACAGCATCCCCGTGCAAAAACCCGAACCCCTCGTGCATCACGAGCTGATGCCCACCATACCCACTCCAAGCCAAGGCAGAGTGTGCTGGAGGGGAAGCAATCCCAGCTGTCCAGAGCATCCCGCGAGGGGCCGGGAATGTATTCATATTAGAAAGGTTTTTAGGGAGTTTTTACATTTTTATTAGAGCCATTCTCTATTTCTCGATCCCTCTGAAGCCAGGTGCTTTAGTTTAATAAGGTTGCGGGGGAGGCTGTAAAACCCTCTGGAGTGATGGAAGATGGCTTTGCAGCGGATAAAAATGTCAGGCAGCCGAGGAGCGTTATCCCGGCCGCCCCGCAGGGCTGGGCTGGCTTCCTCCCGCTGCCCGGAGTCAATCAGCGTTCCCTTTAAATCCTGCCTTTTCTGCTTCTTCAAAGTCCAATTATTTTCTATTGTTAATGTTTGCGCCTGCCCTTGAAATCGTCGTAGATCTGATGATAATATGATCTCTAGACAATTCATGTTCACTGGCATGAATCTCGTCTATCATACATGGGCAATTTCCTAAGACTAAATCCAAAATATTTATTGATCTTGTTGGCAAGCGTAGAAGGGAATGGTCTCTTAATCCCTTAAGAAAATTACTTCCCTTCTAATTCGTATTCCAGTCAGTGTAAATGTACTTCACTACAATTATTTTTCAAGCCTTTTTTCCTCTCCTTTTCCTGCATAACCATTTCTCAAGCCTGGTGAGTGGAAGGCCTCTAATAATACCACCTCCATCACCGGTGAACACACCGGCGTCGGAGTGGAGCCCTCTGCTTTCCCAGCTCCTCTCCTGGGCTCTTCCCTCCTCCAGCTCCTCCACAGCCCAATTTAGCATCTCTTTCCACATTTTATTCTGCGCAGGGCTGGAAAACTGAACTACTGCAGCTTGGGAGTGGTGGCTGATGTCCCGGAGGAGATTTTGATGTGCCCTGTGGCCAGCTCTTGGCTCTGCAGAGGGGCAGGACGCTGGGTCCTGGCTAGGTTTTTTGGGCTGGGAGATGTTTTTTTTCATATGGGAGCTGGTTTTTTGTGGTATGGGAACCAAGCAGCTGCGCACAAGACTCTGATGGCTTGTTCACTTCCGCACACAAGCGGGGTAAAGCCAGACTGGTGTCCCTCCCATCTCTTGGGGGCCTGCAGCCCCACTGGCATTGTCTCTGAAATCAGCCAAAATCACCCACGTGCCATCTGCCCTCTCCCCGCAGGGCCGGGTGAGGAAGACTGCGCACCCTGCACCCCGGAGACCCCCTCACCCCACTGGCGCTGCGTCCCCGCCTGCCGTGAGGGCTTCTACCCCGCGGAAAGCCACGGGCTGCCCAACAAAGTCTGCAAGAGGTATGGTACCTCCTCGGTGGCAATGATTAAAAAAAAAAATAATAAAAAAATGCTGAAAACAGCTCACAGCTGGAGCTGTTTACTAGGGAAATTAAAATAGGGATAAAGGGAGCCAGGGCAGCCGTGGGGCTGAACCCCACATGCCCCTGCCCTATAGATTTAAGAGCGGTGAAGCTGCATGCTCTGCCGGAGCCAGCCAAGATGTCTTAGGGCTATGGTGGAAGGGGCTCAGCCCTGGCCCCAAGCTCTTTGGGGGAGGTGTGGGAGGAAGAAGGAAAGGTGATGTTTAGGCAAATATTCCAGCTCTCAGCCAAACCTGCTATGTTTGC